GGTTGAGTTCTATACCGCATCCATCCCTATCACCTAACATCTTTCATCTTGCTCCCCAAAACTGCAAGTCCTATAGAATGCAAATTCAGGAGAAATAGAGGAAATAAAGCAATCTATATACCTCCTTTCCTATGTGGATGAATTAGTTTCAGTGTAAAAACTGAGTTTTTTAGCAGCAAATTTGAAACTATTGCTACTAAGACTTAGCAGTTCTACTTGTTTTCATCTGTTAAACACTCGAAGGTGTTTTTGTGCAAGGGGATTGAAGCATGGAGTTTGCATTATGGGTGGGTTTTGAACAGAGAAGGGAGCTGTTAATCCCTAACCACCTGGGGATTGCCTAGCAACCACAACATTTGATTACAATGCTTTCTTTTACCTGGCTGGCAAAATGGCCAAGTGACTATAGTACAACTGCCTTCTCAGTGGCTGGTTTTTCAGGGGCTCTAGCAGAGCTGACATATCAAGGCAGATATCTAATTTGACATATAAGTAACCAACTTTGTCCAGATAAAAATTAGTCTAATGCAACAGCCATCTGTGGAGACAAAATATGCACAGAATAAGGAATGCTTGGCAGCCTTCAAAGGGTTCATCCAAGGGTGAGGCTGCTTTTTTGTCACCCTCATCAACTTTGTAAAATGTTTAACATTTGCTTTTAATATAATTGCATTAAAATTATGCACTAGTACATATTTAAAGAATATAGAAAAGGCATAATTGTGCAAAAGAACGATATCCCCTGGGAACTAGCTTACCTGGTGTGTCAGGAGACCTTGATGAATGAGGCTTACCTGGTATTGAAAAATGATTGGGAAAAACAACCAAAGAAAAGTCATGAGAGAGCACTGAGTCAAGCTTTAAAACACCACACATGACTCTGATGGTCAAGTATGGAGTAACTTGGGATTTCAGTGTCTATACATGTTCATATCTTGTTCAGTTTCCAAGGAAACATAATACATGCCAACAGAATTTACTGTTTTTCTGGGGACAACTCCAGAGAGAAATCCCAAGAGTCCTTATTTTATAAATTGCAAGTTCAAGTTAGAGCATCATCTCACAATGTTAAAATTATGCCCTCTAAATATTTAGAGATGGCAAAAAAGTTATGTTGAAATATAAAAGGATGCTGTGGAGACAATTTTGCTAAATAATACAGGAAGTTATTTTAGTACATTAAAATATTTCAGGATTTAGACACAAGTGAAGATAATGATACCGTTTCCTGCATGAGTGTTATGGAATGCTATGAATATGCCGTCCTGGGTTGACAAATATCTTGTTGATTTGTGCAGATATACTCTTGAGTAGGTTAACCTTGCAGTCAGGACTTCTAGTATGTTCTGGATCTGAAAACGTTTATTGTGAGGACCTCATGATCTCCATTTGATATTCAAAATTTGCTTACCTTAACATGCAACCTGAGAGTAAGGACATGAACAGAAGGACATGAGAATATAAGAAAAGCCATGCTGGATCAGATCACAGATCCATCTAGTCTAGTACTCTCTACACATAGTGGCAAACCAGCTGTGCAAGGCTTGCTCAAGCAGGAGGGATACAAGACCTCCATATCCCAAGCTCCTCAGCAACTGGTATATGCAGGCATGCCAGCTCTGGTAAAGGTGGTGGCACACAAGAATAGTAGCCATTGGTAGCCTCCTCCTCCATGACTATGTCCAATCACCTTTTAAAGCCATTGAATTTGGTGGCCATCAACGTCACAGTGAATTCCACAGTTAACCTATAGGTTGTGTGAAGAAGTACTTCCTTTTGTTTGTCCTAAACCTCCCACAATCAGCTTCTTGGGATGACCCTAAGTTCAAGTGTTATGGGAAAGGAAAAATCTCCCTCTCCACTTTCTCCATACTATGTGTTATTTTAAACACCTCTATCAAGTCTCCTTTTACTCAACTATTTTCTAAGTTAAACAGTTCCAGTTGTACTCATTCCTCATAGAAGAGTTACTCCAACCCCTTAAGCATTTTCATTGCTTTTCTTTGTACTTTTTCAAACTCAATAACATCCTTTTTTAGGTAAGGTGATCATAAATGAGCACATTATTTTAAATGTGGTTGTAACAAAGATTTGTATAAGGGGGAAAGATCTTGGTAGTTCTATTTTCTTTTCCATTCCTATTCATGCCTAGCATGGCGTGTGCCTTCTGCACACCAGCTGAGCATTGGGCAGACATTTTCACCAAGCTGTCCACCACTACCCCAAGATCCCTTTCTTGCTTGGTCACTGCTAGCTCAGTGTATACTTGAAACAGGATTTTTTTGCTCCAACATGCTGAACCACATTTGCCATTTTGATGCCTATTCTTCCAGTTTAGAGAGACTCCCTTTGGCACTCTTTGCAATCCTTTAGGATTCTAAATAGTTTGGCATCATCAGCAATCTTACTACTTACTCCTAATTTCCAATAATTTATGAATAGGTTGAAAATCATTGTTCCTAATAAAGAATCCTGTAGTACTCACTGTTTACATCTCTCCATTGGAAGAAATTGTCATTAATTTCCACTCTGTCTTTTCTTTAACCATTTAGTGATTCATAAGAGGACCTGCCCCCTCCCCAATTTGATGACTACTTAGCTTGCTCAGAACCCCCTGGTGCAAGACTTAGTGAAGGGCCTTTTTTAAAGTGTACATAAACAATGTCAATGGGATCACCCCCATCTGCATGCTGCTGACACTCTCAAAGAACTCCAGTAAGTTAGTGAAGCAGGACTTCTCCTTGTAGAGGCGTGATTTTTTGTTTCAGCAGGGCTTGTCCTTCTATATGCTTACTTCTTTCTTTAATAACACATTCAAGCAGTTTACACAGAACAGATGTTGGGCTAACTGGCCTGTAATTCCTCCAATTCCCCCTGGATCTCTTTTTTGTGTTATGTTGGTCATTCTACACTTCTCCAGTGTGAAGGCTGATTTTTGGGATATATTAAATATTTTGGTAAGAAGGTCAGCAATTGCATGTCTGAGTTCCCTTGAGAACTCTAGGATGAATACCATCTGGACCAGGTTATCTACTGAGTTTCAGCTTGTCAGTAAGGTTGAGAATTTAATCTTTTGTCACTACTATCTGCCTTCATTTCTCCAAATCCCTTCCAGAATACATAGGAACATGCATTTGCTCTTTATCTTCGGCTGTGAAGACTGATAAAAAAAATACACTCAGCTTCTCGGCAATCTCCTTGTCTCAATTGGTGCTCCTTTAAGTCCATTATTATCCAGTTGATCAACTACTTTAGCTGCTTTCTTTCTTCTGATATATTTAAATAATTATTTTAAGACCTTGTTAGCAATAAGCTCCTCAAACAGTTTTCTTGCTTCTCTTATTGTCGGCTTGAATGTGCCTTGTGCAAAGTTTGTGATTCCTTCTGGTTTTTTTTTTTTTTTTTTTGGCAAGACCTTCAATTTTGGAAGGAAGCTTTCTTTTCCTTGATTCTATGCATTAACGATGCTGGTGATTTCTTGAATTTTGTGCTACCTTTCCCCACTTGTGGTATGCACATTTTCTGTGCCTCTATTACAGTGGTGGCGAACCTATGGAACGTGTGCTGCAGCGGGCACGCAGAGCCCTCTCTGTTGGCGCGCAAGCCAAGTTGCCCCAGCAGCACCCCAGCAGCCAAGCATTGGATAACAGCACACACAGGGGCCATGCGCATGCTCGGAAAGAAGTAGTGGCGCCAGGTGATGTCACGAGCCCCATTTCATTAGCTGCAACTTGTCTGAGCTTTTGCATGGCTGGTCAGTGCACTTGGACTGGCTGTGAGTTGTTTTTTTCTAAACTAAAACCTCAGTATTCAGGTTTTATTGCAGTGTTGGCACTTTGTGATTAATAAGTGGGTTTTGGGTGGCAGTTTGGGCACTCAGTCTCTAAAAGGTTTGCCATCACAGCTCTATTATAATGTTTTTGACAGCATCACACATAGTCGCCCCCATCCCGGGAATGTCTGCAGGTGGGGGTCCTACCCGTAAAGGCCTCCACTTGATTTTCAATCTTAATAGCATGAATTTATGGATCACATGGAACTGTATGCATGCACCCCCCTCCTTGTAGTTGCATACATGAATGCAGTGTCAAAAGCAGGGCTATGATGCATAGCCCAACCCTGACCTCATTTGTTAAGGTAAGCAGGTTTTTGAATGCTTGAATGGGCTATGACTGTGGTATGGAAGCAAGGGATCTATAAATCTTAGACTCATGCATGAAAGAGAACTTGGGAGATGTATGTCTGAATATTTCAGCAAAGCAGCTTCTGGACAGAGCAATCCTACCATTGTATTACACCTGGCCTGTGGCTGTGTGTCAATCAACTGTCTTGGTTATGTAGATTTATGGCAAAGTTGTGTCCCTCATCGCTTTTGTGAAATGCCATATGATACAAGGTGGAATTACCAGCCCTGTTGTACCCAAGGGGTATCTGGTACAGTGCGTGTGTGCAACAGGATACTGAGCCAAACGGTAAAGGTGTTTCTAGAAGTTAGGAGCCATGTGCAATACATAAGACTTACCATTTATCACGGAGATGCCCAGAAATACTGAGATGTGTGTGTACACTGGATAAATCTTTGCCCTTTTCCTTTTTTTCTGAAAGAGAGCTCGTACCCCACTGCATGGAAAGCGGGCGTTTAAGCTTTACAAAGCCACAGGTATTTCTAGAAGCTTCTGGAACAGCAGTGAGGCGCGTAGCAACTTGGCATTGTCGATCTTATCATCACACAAAGCCCCACTCCGATTCCAGCCTGCGTCTGGGGGTGTTTACTTTCGAGTTGTGGGGCGTGACGTTGAGTGAGAGGTGGGTTTTGCATGCAACGGACCGGTGATTTCTCATGTGTAGCCTTCCTGATGGGAGAAAAAACGGGGAGCGCAAGAGGGGCGGGTTCAGTGGAAATTTCCACTCCCTGCAGTAGTAGCTGCTGCGACGAAAAAAAAGGCGAGGAGGGGGCAAAGGCAGGGAAAAGGCGGGACGAGCATCACGGCCGGGAAGATGAAACGCGGCTGAGGCCACGTTTCCGAACCTGGTGCTTTTTTATCCGAAGACGCCGAATTTAAAATAAACCGTCCCGCGGCTGCCCACTGGGCGGGCTGGCATTGTGTCGAGGGAGCCGCTCCGCAGGGCAGCACGAGAAAAGGGCGAGCGGAGAAGAGGAACGGGAAGCGGAGCCGGGCGCGAGCAGTGGGGCGTGGGCACTGCCGGGTGCGCGCCGCAGCCGACCTCTTTTAAAAGGCGTCACTCGCCCGCCGCCACTGCCGCCGCCGCCGCCTCTAGCTCAGCCTGGGACCCGCGGCGGGCCGCGCCGGCGATTCGCAGCCTCCCACACCTTCATTTAGTCTCCGCTTTCTTCGTCTCACGGGGGAACTCTCCCGAGCGACTCCTCTTTCTTCAGAGATGCCCCGCTATGAGCTGGCTTTGATCCTCAAAGCTATGCAGAGGGTGAGTGTGTGTGTGTGTCCCCGAGAGGAAGCAGCCCTTGCCCTGCGGTCGTGTCCTTCCTTAGCCCTTGTCGCCCAGCCGCCGCCATCGGTCCGTCTCCTCCTTTCCAGCCGCTCTGGATTTCCCGCGACAGCCCCACTCCCCCTTTCTAGCCATGCTTCTCCGCCTCCTGCCTTTTCCCGTCAGGCCCGGTCGGTCCTTCCTTCCCTCCTCCCGGCGGCAGCGCGTAGCTCTGAAAGAGCGTGCTCGCACTTACCGTCGCTGATCTCCTTCCGCCCTCCTTGATTTTGCTTGCCCGGTAGCCTCGGGAAACGAGAAAAAAAAAGCTGTGTCCGAAATTTTAAAAGAGGAGAGTCGGCATTCTTGTTAGCTTAAGCTTTTCTCCTTTCCTTTTTTACTGTTCCGGACAGTTAACGCGCACGTGTACGTTCTTTCGCAAAGGAAAAAAGAAACCGCGCGCCAAAGGGCTCGTTCTTTTTTCTTAGAAAAAGGTTGATTCCCCCCCGCCACCTACCCTTGGCGTGTGGGCGTTCAGTAGCCATGACCGATAGAGTAACAGTGGGGGTGGGGGGGGGCTTCATTTTAAACGCATGCAATGCACACTTGACTGGGTTATTCTGGGTCCGTTCACAGATCCATTGCACACGTTCACTTTTGCGCTTGTTTTGGAAGCGACCGTTGTTGTGGGAGGAACTGGAATAATTACTGGTAGAACACTTTTTACATACTCGTTCCCCTGATCCCAACTCCCAGAATTCCCGTATAAAAATGCATGAATGAATTTTGTGTGTGTGAGCGAAACTGTACAGAACTAAATTTTAGAAGGGCTATATATGGTAGGCAACTTTTTAAAAATACATTTTCATCCATTGTTTGCATTCGCTGAGCTTCCTTGGAGGTTCACGAGGGCTGGCTTCCTTTCTTCTCAGTGAGTGTAAATGTGGCATGTTGAAACACGGGTAGTGCAGACTGATCTGGGCTGCTGGCTATGATAGACTGGGGGAGGGCATAGCTCTGTGGTAGAGAGCACCTGCTTTTCATACAGAAGGTTCCATGTTCAGTCCTCTAATTATGAGTTCTACCTGCAACCATGAAGAAACCATATGTTATTAAGTAAAAAAAAAATAGAAGTGTGACATATACATATTTAAAACATTCTAGAATAGTTCAGTGTGTGCGTGTGTGACCATTACACAATTAATCGGTGTTTTTCTTAAATGGAAAAACCTCTCAAATGAGTCACCTTAGCAGAATTACTTGGCAGGGTAGTTCTACTCAAGTCCTATTGGGTGAGACTTATTCCCACTTAAGAATTACACATAAAGATTACAGCCTTAGTGTAGGAACCTGTAGTTTTCCTTATGCACGTTTTTGCTTAATAAATAGTAAACATATACATTAGAAGAGGCAGCCCGTGTGTTCTATGTGCACACTTTTGAACATACATATAGCTTTGATTTATGTCTTGACAGGTTATTTTGGCAGAGGAGGGCTGGATATATATTTAATTTTGTGAGTTACTGGAATGTTGTCTTCCACCCGTTCTGTGTATACATGTGTCATTTTCATTGATTGTGCATTTTATTTTCCCCTTAATTGTAATACAGATTTTAGATTTCCAGGCTTAACAACATAAAGAACAAGTCAAATAATGACATATATGTTAGGCAAGACTTGAAATACTGTGGCTTTCGGGAACCTCTGACTTACAGTACTATGAAGTACAGAGATGCTTAGTAGTTGACTGATGCTCATTACTTTGGGGATTGTTAAGATCAGGTGTTCAAATAAACACTTAAACTATATTTCAGAGTACCGTATTTTTCGCTCTATAAGATGCACCTGACCATAAGACGCACCTAGTTTTTAGAGGAGGAAAACAAAAAAAAAATATTCTGAATCAAATGGTTTACTAAACTATTTAATAAACTATAACAGAATACAGTAATACCGTATTTCAACCTTGTACAGTGAACAGCAGTCAACAGTGGCATTAAGAACCATCATCACTGTCATTAATTAAGAGAGACTTTAAAGTTCGAGTACTCTTCTAGTTTTCGTTGAACCCATAGAACTAATCTCACTAGAGTCAGAATTTATGAAGCTCTGTTGCTCACAATCACTGACATCACTTTCTTAGTCAGTAGTGGAATTATTGAAGGAATCCACAATCTACAAGACTACAATCTACAGTTATACAAGAGCTGCTGCAGACAGTTCAATAACAAATCTAAAAAAGCCAGTAATGTCCACACTGCCCTACTAGTAAATAATAGAAAAAAACTTCTGACAAAAAATGAGATATTGTACGGTAAATCAAACACACAGCAGACTAAGTAGCCTTTGAAGAATAAACTTCATACACGAAGGTAATGCTGTTCAAATATCCACTGGTCCTAAAAAAAATGTGTCTGATCAACTAACAGATAACTGAACCATGGAAAGCTTCCTGATAATCACAGGCACATTCCCCATCACTTCCCCATGGGCTTCATTAAAAGACGGGTTGCCATTTGAAAACACACACCGACCTGTGATTAACAGCTCTCACCTGTGCTGGAGGAGGGGGGGCGGAGCAAGGCGCGCTGAGCGCATGCCGGCCAGGTGGTGCCACGTGGGGCCGGCAGCGTGCCGGCGGTGGTCTTCCAGGCGGTGAGGGTGAGCAGTCCGTCTCTCCGTGCGGCCAGTGGGTTAAAGCCCGCGGCTCCTCCTCCGCACCTCTCCCCCTGAGCAGCACAGCTCTCACCTGCGCCGGAGGCGGGGGTGGAGCAGGGCGCGCCGAGCGCGTGCCGGCCAGGTGGTGCCACGTGGTGCAGGCGGGCTGGCAGCGTCCCAGGCGTCGGGCACACACACATTCGCTCTATAAGACGCACAGACATTTCCCCTTTTGAGGGGGGGAAAAAGTCTTATAGAGCGAAAAATATGGTATTTAAGGACAGAAACTGTCCAGGCCTTTTCCAAAAAGCACCAACCAGAAGTCATGGTTTGTATTAGTGTTCTCCAACCAGAGATGTACAAAAGTATATTTTAATGACTTCATAGTTGTATATCTGAAGTTTTGAGCTAGTGTGAAAAACAGACTTCCCTTCTATAGAGCTCTCTCACAGAAGAATATGACTTGGGGTGGATAGCTGCTGGACTGGCTCCTTCCACTTCCATACTCCACATGTAAGAATCAAGTGATTTGTCATTTTGGGGTGATATCCAATGGATGAGTTAACGTCAGATCTAAACAGTTTTCTAGCTAATTGCCATTTGTTTCAGAAAGAACCAGAAAATTTGGCTTGGCCTTTGAAAGTACAAATTATACAGAATGAATTTGTGCTTTTGTATGACCTGCATTTAAACTTTGAAGTCTCAATTTAAATAAGTAGAGGTATTCTGCTACTGCAGGGGTCCCCAACCCCTGGGCTGCGGATTGGTACTGGTCCGCAGCCTGTTAGGAACCATGCCACGCAGAGGGAAGTGAGTGGTGGGCGACCGAGCAAAGCTTTGTCTGTATTTGCAGCTGCTCCCCAGGGGTAGCATCACCACCTCAGCACCACCTCAGATCATCAGGCATTAGATACACATAGGAACATGAGTCCTGTAAACTGCGCATGCGAGGTATCTAGATTGTGCGCTCCTTATGAGAATCTAATGCCTGATGATCTGAGGTGGAGCTGAGGTGGTGAGTCGTATAATTATTTGATTATATATTACAATGTAATAATAATAGAAATAAAGTGGAGAATAAATGTAATAGGGTTGAATCATCCCGAAAGCATCCCCCACCCCCAGTCCATGGAAAAATTTTCTTCTGCGAAGCTGGTCCCTGGTGCCAAAAAGGTTGGGGACCACTGTGCTAGTGAAATGAAACCTAAAACTGGGTTCTGCGCCAGTTGAATGTGGGAATTGCATTAGCAACATAATATATTCTTATTTTTTACAGTTTTTTAAGTGGTGTGAGAAAAGTGAAAAAAGAAAAGGTGAAGAGTTCTAAAGTGATCCCATAATTTATATCAGGAATATGGTAGATCTCAAACTGAAAGAACTGAAGCCTGATATTCTGAAGTACCAATTTTAGTTAGTTCTCACAGTCTACTTCACAATAAAATAATACATCAGTATTATAAATCCTTGATGTTCACAGTATTTGCCAATTTTGTGAAGTATATTAAAGAACAGGAAATGTAGTTTTTTGAGACTGATAAATAAGCCTGATAGTGTAGCTTGCTCTGAGTACAGAAAAATAGTTGGTAGTTGTAAATGTATTTGGAAACTGAGTATGCTCTTTGCTTTCATTGTGAGTCACTTGAAGTAAAATTTCAGTCTGCTAGGCTTAAGGTAGCTTTCAATTGCTATTCTGTATAATTGCCAGGAGAGGGTGATAAGAGCTAAAACTGTCATATGCCTAGAATACAACAAGGCTCTTAATTTGACCCCACTCATAGTAATCTCCAGTGCTGTTTGCCTTTGTGACATGTAAACTTGGTGAGCAATGAAAAAAGTATATCTAGAGTTAAATTCACTTCCATATTTAATAGAGAATTAATTAAAGAAACATCTCAAATTCTTTTGGGAGTTTTGGGACTATTTTACTATCAAAAGACCTTTCCAGTGTATGGTAACACAATATAGCAGCTACCTTATCTCTATATAATCTGAAGAATTGTTGGTTTCTCATTTCTAGGAAGAATGTGTGTAAAGGTACAGTTTACAGTATGTGAGGCAGGTGGGGTTCATTATAAAGGTGCAGGTTGTTTATACTGAAGGTGCAAAACCAGGCAGAAATCTCCCCCTAAATAAATGAAAGAAAGGATCAAGAATGGTGGGGAAAAATAAGCATTCACTATATATTTCACTTGATATCTTAACATTATACATGTGTGCCATAATTTTCTCAGGCCCCATGTCTGGGAAATGTAGACTATTCCTTACTGCTTTTATTGATGGATAAAATCATAGTATTTTAAAAAACACATTTTCTTAGTTATATTTGGAAATGCTAAACTAGACTT